CATACATGTTTCATTAGAATCTTGTACCACTTTTTGCTCTAAGTTGAATGTTTGGGTCTCATTTTTCATCATCTTTGACTATTAAGGTGTACTTACCAAGTCTTCAACTTTATCAGGCTGTATTTGTTTTCTAAGCTCTTCTGATATCATTTCAACTGTTTCTTCAGGCCACTGTCAAGAAGCCTCATCTGTACTGCAATATTATTTTCTATTGTTTCCTGATTTTTAGAATTACAAAGTTCTGTATTTTCTTCCAGAAGTTCTTCAGATTCTCCTATCTGTAGATATTGTTTTTCATTCACATCAATATGTGAGCTTGTGAATAAACAACATATATATTTTCATCGTTTTGCATTTGATGTTCTTTTACCTGTTTAAATTGATCTTCTGTGAGAACCATAACAACATTATTCTGACTTGTTAGATGGTTTGAATTTTGTAATTCATTTATTATTTCATTTTGCTGGGACTCAGTTAATTTGAGTATTACCATTACCCTGAGTATTATTTTTGTTGTTGTGAAACCAGTTTGAATTTCAGCCTGAACTTGTCCTAGACTGGATTCATTGCTATGTACAAGAAATGTTCAGACATTGTTTCTGAAATATGTTCTTCTGATATTTCATCCAATTGCATTTGATTTACAAGGAATTGAGTATTGTCCTTGATTCTCGTCAACATTCTGGTTAGATATTTCATAATGATCGTCCATGACAACAATGCTATCCACAAGACCTAAACTAGTAGCTATTCCAGAAGCCACATTGTTTAAAGCCTCTGCTTCAGAGCTGGGTTCTAAACTTTGCACTACTGCATTTTGTATAATGATATCACTTCCTACAATTTGTGAGCCAATTGTAGCATTTTGAGATATAGTATTAACATGCGTCTGATGTCCGGATGCAAGCATCATTTGTACTTCCTTTGAAACTGCTGGTGGTAGAGCAATATTTGAAAGAATTTTAATCTTTCCCCTCTGTTGTAATTGCGGGTCATTAGGGATATACTTATCATTACCTTCTACAGTTTCCATAGAAGGTTCAGTATAATTCTTTTCTTCATTATCAGAAAATTCAATAATACCATCATTGCGTGCTTGTTCTTTATGAACTGATTTTACATGAGCATACATGTTTGCTTCACGTAAGAACATTTTATTGCAATAGATGCACTGTTGGGACTCCTTTGTGGTAGCACCAATTTTGTGTCCTGTTTGGGCCATATGGGTTATCAATGCTTGTTTTGTCCTAAACCAAGTTGAACATTGGTTACAAACGAATTCATTCAATTTTGAATGATTTAATATATGTTTAGACAATAAAGCATCATTCAATGCTATAAAATCACAATGAGAACATTTAGGAAAATGTGTGTTACTAGGTGGTTTAATACCATGCTTAGTATATAGATGAAAATATAAATAATTACGTTTTGTGGACTTATGACCGCAGTGTTCACAAATTCTTTCATCTATTTTTTCATTATGAACTCGAACTAGATGTTTTCTAAAAACGGGATAAGAAGGAAACTTATAGGTCTACCATTTGTTCCACATCTTAAACAAAGCCAGGGACCAGTCTTATTTTCAGCGCCCAATGCAAGAAGGGCATGCATCTTTTTTGCATCAATTACTTTAGGTTGTTCTTCAACTTTAATTTGACCTGAAGGAGTTATTATTTTGTGTGTAATTACTTTCCATCATTATTTGGACTGCATTCTTTTGCTACACTAACCACAACTTTATCATCATTATTTAGCTTTGTCGTTCCACTTGATCTTTGCTGAACTACTTTAAGTTTAATATTTTTATTATTCTTCATGATATGTGGATACTTCTTTAGAACCTCACTTATTATACGAGCATGATTAGCACTGGAGTCTTGACTTACACTTATTATTTTTTTGCTGTTCTGTTTTAATATTCTGTAAGGCTTGGTTTGAAGATTCTGTAGATATTTCTTGTGAGTTAATTTGGGTCTCTTCTTGACCACTATCATAATCATCATTTCCATTGTCATGATAATTATCATCATCCGGGTCATCTTCATTTTCTTCCACTTCATAATTTGCTCGCAGCCGATGGGCTTCTACATACTCTTTGACATCTTGTAAATTTACACGTTTAGGTTCAGAAGAAGTTGGTGATGCAGGAGCTGGTCGTTTTTGCACATAACCCTTGCGCATTCTTCAAACGGATTGTTAGAGTTTGAATTTTTTGATTCAATTGAATTATTATCCATTTTGGCATAGATAGAGGTTTGCCTCATAAGATATGCTATCAAAAGAAGTTTCAAATTTATTATCGCTAACAACTTCTGTTGCTTCAAATCTTGTAGGACGAGGTACATTATCAACAATATTTGAAAATTTAGGTTTAGTCACCCTCAATGGTTCCGGAGTTTACTATCCAGCCCGTAAGACATTGGTCGCCTTTTCATGTTTCTAGCATTTGAATACTCATCTACCTTCTGGATAATATTTCGACCTTGTAAGTTATATGTCATAGAAACAATAGGATTCTGATGGTTGAGTAAAACTGGCTTAGAAGCATTTGGTGCTTGTATTCTTTGTGCTCTTAATAACTTTGTTAGTATAGCAATGTTCATCTGTGCTGTAGTTTGCAACCTATCAAGCATATTATATCTAAATTCTAGTTGCCCCGTATACATGAAATTAACAATAGGGACCACAACGTCTGCTTGCAAGTCCATTGGCATGATAAGGCAGTCATCAATCATTTCACAGTTTCTTTCCAATATAGTAAAATATTCTGTACAAGCATTTAAAACCAAGCGATGAACTTTCAATTGTGAATTATCATGAAACTGCAGTGTCAAATCACAATAATCAGTTTTATTGAAAAACTGTTGAAGCCGTTGAAGGAAAAACATTCCCCAGTTGTCGACGCGTATGTTTTTTATGTCACCCATTTTGCAGCTTGTTCTTTTCACTTTGTTTTAGTAGATCCTTTAAAATATTTATGCGTTAAAAAGCAATCGTTATTAAACATACATCATGCGAAAATATAAAATAAATATGCTTATTAAATCTAATGTATAATTAAATGAAACCAATGTCAAAAATACTGCAATCGATGCCAGGCATCCTTTTAAGAAAGAGTTTATCTAAGAACACTTTCATGATTATAGTTTACTCCGGACATTTAATGTTTAAAGTAGCATAATTAAAAGGCATAGTAAACATAAATTCTTTTGTGTACAAACCTATTTTACATCACCATTTCAGCTCCATCTTTAACAGCAATAAACTGAATAGTATGCTTGGCCATGTTATTGTAGATGTCGCATTGCATTAGCCGCCATTTTGATCGACTTATCGACATTCAGAAAGAATTAGAAGGCGACACTAAGGACATCTATCCCAATTTGCACATAATTAAAGTCCCAAACAGATAAGCAAAAAGTCACTTTGGTTAACTGCGCGACCACATTTGAATTTTATTTTTGACAATATATTATTTAGCAATTTTAAATTATTTAGTAATTATGATTAGACGAATATAATATAAATTATCTTACGACGGTGTATTAAGTTAAAATAGATTTAGCAAGTTAAAACAGTTTTGGTTAAATTTATAACAATTTTCAATATAAATTTAACGGGTTGAATACGCTCATTATTATATTCTATTAGTTTTAATTGGAAAGGTATATATACTTCGTTTATATGTTACTTCTTAAGATAAATCTTATTTTATAACCCTTGCCGCTAATATACATGTCATGAATTATAGGTTATATTATATAATTGTTCAATTATTAATGAATGTAAAAGATAACTAAAACTACTAACATTTTTTTGGCGTCCATTACATTTGCATAATATCTTGCAAATTTTCTTATCTATGATATCATGTCACCATTATAAAATTATTGCACAGATAGAATCAATAAAATGTTTGCGGATGCAGAAAATACAAACAGTTCCTCAAGTACAGATCCAGAACAGAAAGAATGGGGATACGATTTATACCCTGAACGTAGAGGCCAAAAATATTCACCCAGTTTGAAAAAAATTATACTTGGAATCGAAGGAAGAGAAAGTACAGATAAATTAAAATGTGAAAAAAATGTTTTTGCTTGTATTAAGAAAAGTAAGAAAAAATACTTTACAATAAATGTCATATTCAATAATAGAACAGAAACCTATTTTTTTAAGGTCCTATCGTAAAATTAATGATGGGTGCATTGAAAAGTTCCGGCTGGTAAGTTTTTTTTTGGAGTTTGATTTTAAAAATTGATAATTTTTTGATGATGATTTCAATAAAATAGTGAGATGGATATCCGAAGACATATATCGTGTGAAGTTTGTGATATTTCTGTAAGTGGGGGTTATGATCCGGAATTGAATCAGGTGAAATTTAAATTTTTTAGTTCATTCATTTATATAAGCATATATTTCATAATTTGGGAACATGATATAAAATTGCTGTTAGTCGAAACTAAAAAATTCCAATGGCTCTGGGATGTTCTATAAAAGCAAAATAATTAGCAAATGCAGTCATTTTCTGACAATGACTTCAGTACAATGCTTTCACTAAATTTATTAGTTTTTGTTCCAATGAAAGCATTTTAACTTTTAACTTTAGTCCATAAATTAAAGTGAATATGGCATATTCACATTTTTCTGTTATTTTTCATGGTCAGTGTCAACTTTACTCTATACTATATATATAAATAAGTTTACTCTATACTCTATATATAAATAAGATTCCTTCATTTGCAGAAGTGTTGCATTATTATTATGTTATTTTGCCTAATGTATTGTTTTCTTTGTCAGTGTAGATAGTTATTTGTCAGAATGTGGCTAGATCACAAGGAATGGTCCAAGGTGTCCTAACACATGAAATGATACATATGTTTGATTTTTGTCGAAATGAACTTGACTTTAAGAACATTGATCATTTAGCCTGTACAGAAATCAGGGCTGCTAACTTAACTCACTGCTCGTTCTTGAGTGCATGGGGCCAAGGAGATGCCTCAATATTTAATGTAAAAGAAGCTCATCAGGTAATAAATAAAATCTCGTATGAGAGTGGCCATAAAAATATTACATTCGAAATTTATTGTTTATTTAGAACTGTGTGAAAACAAAAGCTCTGAACTCAGTATTAGCCGTACGAAATGTAACTCGAGATCAAGCAATAGATGCTGTAGAACGAGTATTTCCAAAATGCTATGCAGATTTAGAACCAATAGGCAGGAGAGTGCGTCGAAATTCTAGAGATATGGATAAAGCGTATATGGAAGGACCTATGTATGGCTATGATGTATAAGATTGGAAGTACATGTAGTATTGAAAATAAATATTTAATAAAACATCAAAATATATTTACAATTAGTGAACTTTTAATACAGGCAAGTCTACTGACAAACTAATGTAATCTTGGTTAACCACTTATTTTCAGGTTTCCTTTAATTCAACCACTTATAATTAGCCATAACCCATTCATACTAACTAAAGCGTGATTCAAATTTATTACATATAGACTTGCAATCAATTCATTTTAAAGTCTTAAATAAATTTTACAATTATATATAATTGAATACTTGAATTTATACATCTCCAAACACTCTACAAATATTCTGTGATTAATAATTTAAATATAATCTTAGTTCATAAAATGTAACTTTTTTATTACATGTATGAATATTTGGTGTTTCCTAACGTGTATTTGTAAATTTAAATGCTGGATAGTTTTCTATGTGAAATCCAGTAAAAAAGCATCATATGCTTTTATTTCCCAAGCATTTACCTTGAATACATTCATTAATATTACATAAATTTTAAGAAAAAAATATCACAAATTTAAAATCATTTTCATTCACTTAACATAATCTGATTTCATGGTTTTTATACCTAATATTTATATAAAATATTTTCATTAGTTGAAATAATAAAAATATGTATATGAACAAAACATAAATATAAGTTAATGTTATTAATAGATTTCTAAACTTGGTTCCGATGTTAGAAAGATATGCATAATATTTAGCAATTACATTTAAGCAACAATAAATAATTGACATGTTTTCAAAAATTGTTAACAATGGTTTGGTGTTTTGTGTTTTCATAAGCTATATTACGTTCTCTTACATTTAAATATACACGATGATATCACATTGACACAAAAAATATTTATGAAACCCTTTATTTAATACTCTTCATTCGAAAAGAGAAAGTATTTAGATTTGCAGACAGAATGTGTTTATATATGTGACTCGAGGAAGTTATGACTTACTCGAATTTCTGCAATCATGTTACTTGGAGTTCTCATTCGTACTTCCAGTAAAAAACTGTCACGGGCGCAAGTTCCTAAATTTAAGTCAGGAGAACTAGTTCGCACCTGTTCTTTTCTAGCTTCTGATTCTTGAGAAGTTACATAGTCCTTAGTTCCTCCAACAGTATGTCTACGTTTTATACTTCTATTTTGACTACCATTCTTTCTCTTCAATTTAGTATCTTTTTTACCACAATTTTTACTAGAAAGTGTCATTTCTCTGGTTTTATAATTGGTTTGAGTCTTTTCAGACTTGGAAAGGCTTTCTGATCGCTTTAGTTTTATATCATCCTTTTTATTAAGACTCTCTGATCTTTTTAGTTTGTTTATGGGTGATTGAGTTCTATCATGTTTGTTCAAACTTTCTGAACGAAATAAAGACCCTGGCTTAACTGAAACTGTTGTAGATTTATCATTGTATAATCCTTCAGATGTTAAAGTTAAAGAAGTGCCCGCTTGATTTGAAGTTATATTAAGATTTATGTTAGATTCTGGTCCTTCGGTTGGTCTGTCCTGATTTGATATGTTCTCTTGGACCGTAGATTGCTTAGAAACATTATATGATAAAGTATTAGCGTCAGAAGTAGTATTGTTAGTATTTAAGGGCTTGACCACATTCACAGGTATCATAGAGTTGCTTTGAGATTTTAATAAAAAATTCCCTGTGTAAACGTTTTTATAATCTTTGCTTTTATTAGTACTGGTTGCAGATTCCGATCCTGATATGCTTTGTGAGGATACGTCGTGTAAATTTTGATGATCATCATTTTCTTTTAAGTCTGATTGATCTGATCTTAAGCTATCCATAGTATCATTGCTCTCACAACTTTGGGTGCTGACACTGTGGCAGGATTGTTGGCTGGAGATGGTCGAACTTGTAGAAGCATAGTCTACGATATCACGATCATGAATTTTATTTTGATTTGGGTGATCTATATGTTCCTGGTCATAGATGAGAGAGGTATTTAAAGGTTGCTGATTATGCTGCCCATGGGAGGAGCTTCTGAAACGTCTATGCCAACTAGGATCACGAAGTCGGCTCGGTGAGCCGTGAGGTTTTTCTGGACTTTCATCTGCGTAAGGTATGTTATCAGGACCAGAAAGTGGATTTAAACATGTCGGCGAGTTTAAGAGGCGATCGAATGTTGACTGAATGTCGGACACCATATCAGAACCTAAAGGAATTAAGAAATAGTTATAAGTTCGAATCACACCAACGTGCGTAATGACACGAATATCTATACTAATTACATAACATAGGTTTCTACAAAAATTATAACAATATGAGGTGACTGAGAAACCGTTATATATTCTCAGTCCCTTAAATTAAAATATTTTTATGTCTTATATTTGTTGAATATGCGTAATGTTTTTTCATCTACAATCAAAAAAATATAAACGAAAATTTAGATGCCAACTATAATAAGATCAAGTCACACAAAATTTACAGGTTAACATATAAAGTTAAAATAATAAATTTATTAATATAAAAACACCAAAACTATTATCAGTAAATATTAAATTTATAAGTTATTATATCAAGCTATATCCAGATTTACGCCATAAAGCTAACAAAAAGACGAGATAGTAAATAAACATAAATTAATGCACAAATTATTAGAATCAGATACAGTATTTATGCAAACCAGCAAATATTTAATGCTTAATTAATTATTAAAAGAATGCTTATAAAACATTGATGATGCATGAAATAGCGTCACATTTTTGATAAATGTAACAAATCTCAAAGCAGAAATCTCGCAATCAGGAATTAATTTAAACAAATTAATATAGCGTTAATGGGAAAATTAGCTTTGGTTAGTCGGTGAAAAAGTATGAAGTTTTCATTAGTCAACGTCTAAGTTCTGTGCAAACGAATATGGTACCTTCGATTTTAGGGCCTTTTGCGTGGTGGCCTTATAGGTATCTGATTCATGACGGTACCTAATGATGATCGATAAAAATCAACATTTAAGAAACCACAATGATATCAATTATTTGTATTTTACAAATGCGATGTTGTGTTTTCGAAGTCAGTAAAAATACTATGTATTTATCTGGATTAAAAAAAATTCGAAGTTAATGATTTTTATTCCTAATTTTATTATTATTATTTTATTTAATAAAAAGCAATATATATATATATATATAAATATATATATATATATATATATATATATATATATAAGGTATGTATGAAATAAAACAGAAAAACGTGTATATGATAGACAAATTAGAAACTTGTAAATGATTTTGAACCAGTTAAATAACCGGTTAATAAATGAACCATGATTAAACTTATTGAATAAACAATTTAAAATTTCTGAAATGCATTAAAAATTTGCAATCAATTTTGATAAGGTAGTTTCATTGGTGCTACTTACTATAACTGTAGCATTAATAAAATAACGGTTTTAAATTTGAACTATTATATAATAATTTTTCTAAATAAAAAACAATAAGATTTTCAATAAAGTTCAACCTTTTCAGAATGAAAGCATAAATAAAAGGATAAGAAAATAGACCCTTAGGGCGGACAAATAGACATAATAAATGGAAATGCGGTATAAAGCCCTATTTCTAGCACTATATATGTATTTAGAAAATAAAATCTAAATTGAATAATTTCATAATTTATATTATTTCTTTTCGCATCACTTTCATATCAGCCCTATTTGATCTAGTATCTGACGTCTAAAATTCATTAAGTTCGTTTATTTTTACTTCGTGCATATGATAAATGAATAATTAGGCAATTATTAAAATCGATTTAAAATAAAAAGAATTATATGCAATAAAAATAGTCCCTCGCTCCACTATAGATAATTATATAGTCATTATTGGGGTACTTACATCCACTATTCAACTCCAAACTCTTCCTGTTTTCCGTACTGTCTTGAGATTTATCATCCTGAAATAAAAAAATAATTTGATATTACTTATATTTTTAAATCATAATTATTAAATCATTCACCTCTCATATGATAAATTACAGAAATAAAATATATATATAATATATATCTTTATGTTTAAAAGGTCTTGTAATTATTCAGGCAAATCTTCAGTAAATGAGGTAAAATACAGGTATATGTGCAATTAATATCTAATTATACATATATGTAGATATACTTATAAATAACTATAAAAAAAACTTATCAATTGCATGTACATATAAATGAACTTAGGAAAAAAATATATTTAATGTACATTTTACTATACTATTTTTTTTTGACTGCACTTGCTAATACTTTATACAAGAGTATGTTATTGAATTTTTAATTGTTAACCGCCAAAATATATTTTGAACCCTTATTAATAAGAAATGAGTAATAATCAATTTTCTTTAAAATTTTCCTTTCTTCTCGGTAGCTCATACGAAATTGTATAGCTTAAAAATAAAGAAAGAAGTTCTACAAGTTTATTTAGATTTTGTTATTTAGTAAAAAGGAGTAGATTTACTACTTAAATAAAAACTGAACCCATAATGCTATTACCATTTATACTTGTTTATCTATGGCTATTACTATGGTACACGAAAACATTGTATATGTAGATAAATATATAATAATTGGTGCATTAATTTGTGAATACACTTTGATACCATTAAATATTGTGAACATGCCAAACATTTAAACTTGCTTCAAGGTGGGTATTTATCATCAGTGTGCCATGAAAAACTGTTCTGCATTAAGTGTAATATGATCAAATAATTGAATTTATATTAACATTCAAAAGTTAACAAAAAATTACAAAATAACAATTTAGGAACAGTATTGCAATGACTGGTGCAACTTAGAAGTTAAAAAATTACTTATGTTTAAATTTTTCTTAAAGGTATTTGTAATTCAGCTTCGTGCAAATGCAATATAAGAACGCAATGTATCTTACCCGACAAAATGTCAGACTATAGTAGTAATCGAGCAACAAGGCATCGCCAGAAAGTCGTGCGACAAATGCGTCACACTGTCCTATATATAAAAATAAATATTCAAATATTTTTGAATAATTGCAAATCATAGAAATACTGTTCACCAATAAATTTTATATCTTCTAATTGATAAAAACTGTAATTTTATTTATACTTTTACTTACTTCGCACTTACCACAATTAAATAATAAATAATTTGAAATAATTTAGATCACAGATTTTCCTTACATATAACATATATGTACTTCATTTATCTAATATGAATGCAAGCAGGTAATGGTCATGATTAATACTTGCTTGCATTCATATTGAATAAATGAAGTCGGGTAATTACCACTGGGGTAAGTTCGACCAATCAACTTTTAATAAATTGTTATAGTTAATCACGACCTTGAAGACTTCTGCACATGCAGTTGCAATATAAGAAAGCAATGCATCTTACGCAACAAAATATCATATTGTTAAAATAAATATTAAACTCAATTGTATCTGAGATCAGTTTTAAATACTAAGAATATATATTTTTTTGCATGTTATTATTTCAAACAAACCTGAATTAAGCTGTTGCTTTCCTCGTGATATGTACTGCTGCTGTGACTAGATGAGCTATGAGTACTTGTCGTTGTCACCCTGGTCAACGAACAAGCAGAGTTCAATCTTTCAGAATTTGAAATTTCTCTGAAACTATTCAGGTCGTCGCTTCGTTGAATTTTTCCATCGCCGCTTACGCTCATTTCGCCAAAAGATTGATTTTCCGTGTGGACGCTAGGTATTGGCGCTGTCTTAGTCCTGCCTAAAACTTTCTGCCGTTTCTTGGCCGCAGCTAAAAAAATATTGTGATATCATAATTTGAACAATTCACGTGCATTAGACTATAAGCCTTCCTTCATATACACATACATCTCACTTGTGTCATCTATGGACGACATTCCGTGTGTCGCCCCTATAAATAAACTATAAGCCTATCATTCTAATTGTGAATTAAATATTAAAACATCAGGGTATCATCTTTGATACTCAATGAAATAAAATAAAATAAACTAAATACATTATTGTAAATGCAATTATTTCATGAGAATTTTGTTAGATTTTTAATTAATTTTATTACCTTCCACTTTTGTAACATTTTCTAATAGCAAAGTTTTTGCAGGTGGCGTTTGCGTAACAGGCGCATCAGTTGTCACTTCAGGAATTAATTCAGGAAGTTCGTTGCTTTCTGGAGGGCTGAAAAACCAATCAACCTGGAAAAATAAGAAAATCATTTAGAAAAGTATTACCAATTATAATTAAACAGGTAATTAGAGTTATAATATTTGTTTGTAATTCTAAACTTGTTTGTCCAAATAAATTAATCAGTTTTTTGACAACTAGAATCTCTCAGAATCATCTTTACATCAAAATTAGATTATTTATAAATCAAAATAAACTTACATAATTGAGTACACTTTCAACTATTCGGCACTGGTGACTCATGTCATTAACCATTGTGGCCAAGCTGTCTTCATTCGCCTTAACTAGCGTTGGTCCAAAAACAATAGCCAAATTACGGGCTTCCATTTTGTTAACAGAACTATTGCAAACCACTCTTCTCAAATGTAGCATTAAATGACGTAGGGTTTCATAATGGTGTGGAGGCAGTTTGCGTAGCAGCAATCGCAAAGAAACCAAACGTTCAGTTTGTCCAACTGATTTATCTGCGGCTATCAGTAATGGGTACAAATTAGCGGTTAGCAACGAATCGGGCAGTCTCCTGAAGAATGATTTCAGCAACGAACTTATTACGTTGACGTCGTTCCATCGAGGGTCCTGATAAAAGTGATAGTCAAAGTTATTAATTTCATAACAAAATAGGTTGACTATCCCTATTGAAATACTATTGAAGTTTTTTTTTAACTTACCTGCATATCCTCTTCAGTAAGCCCTCTGCTGGCCATGTTTGTGAGTGCCTGAACGGCTGCTGTGTTGCCGGGCACACGATAAATACCCATGACATCTAATCCTCGAGCTTCTACGACGCTCGTACAGAAATCGACCAGACGAGGAACAAATGGGTTATCAGCACTCTGTTGAAAAATGATATATTTTAAGATATTACCTGGTTTAAAACCTAGTTCTAAACCTAGAAAAAAATATTACTATTGATTACAATAATTATTACTTACAGGTGGGCAAAGCTCAATAGGCACGCCTATACACCGTCCACTGTCCGGCCCTGGTGATGTGGGGCTTTGGCCACCTGAGCCTCCCACGGCTGCTCCTTGCATTCGTCTTAATTGGCGGGCGACTCGTCCTTTCCATGTTTTACTTTTTGGGCTCCCCCCTTGCGTTTGTTGCTGTTGGGGCACTGGTTGCGGCAGCTGGTTTGCTTGAGGTTGCTGTTGTTGATTATTGGATGGCTGCTCAATTAAAGAGTTTGCGGGCAAAGTTGCTTTACGCGTTTTGTTGACAGGGGATTGACCTACAGGGAAAAATTCATTTGTTTCATGAAAAAATATATGCGTAAAATATATATTATTAAATAATAATAATTAATACTTATAATTATATTTTATATTTACAATTTTTTATTATTATCATTATTATCAATCTGATCTTTTTGTAACTAATTTTTATTTTTCGTTTGGTTGTATTATCATATGAACAATATGACAGCGAACACACTTTCTTTTATTATTTTTTAAGGATTATTCTGGACCAGACTTTCTGGTGTGAAGTTTTCAAAAAATCGATTTATTTTTTCCGCACATTTTCAATGTTTAACTGTTCAAGAATATGTGTACAAGAGGATTTTTCAAAATTCAAATTCTTTTCGTAGGTATGGCACCATTTTCTTAGTTTGAGCACCATAATCCTCATCTGTTTCGTTCCTTCGCAAAACTTCAAACACATTTTTCTCGAAACTGTCTTTCTCGATACGATACCCACGATTTCTAAACTTCTACTGGACCGATTTACTTGAAATTTTTACAGAGTCTTCTTTATAGACTTCTCTTCAGTTTGAACTATGCTCATTCCCAAATTCAGATTTTCAGTACATTTAAAATAATCGACAATGTCAAATAAAGTTTGAAAAATTTTTTTTGTTTAAATAGTCGCTATTTCGTGCAAACATATTTTAAAATAAGTACATAGCTCATACGATTACGACATTATTATAGATGTTGAATAACAACACACACATATATATATATATATATACATATATATATATATATATATATATATATATATATATATTTCTTCAGATTATTTGGAGAGCTAAAAATCATGGCAAAAATATATGGGCATCACCTTTTAGAATTAAATTTTTATGACTATTTTTAATTTTTATTATTTTCTCAAAACATTAATTAATAAATTATAAAAAAAATATGATAAAAATATTGTATGCTTTTTTAGGGCCTTCAAAAATGGCATAAAATAATTGCCTAAACTAAAGCAAATACACCCTTAATATATATATATATATATATATATATATATATATATATATATATATATAGTATATATATAGTATTACATCTAAATATGTAATTATATAAAAGTTAACGTTGTATTTACTTCAATGAGTTACAAAATCAATTATTCCATATTCACGCATTTATATTTGTTTACTTACCAGTAGGCGAACGACTCCTGAACTGTGGGAATTTTCTTGATGGTTTATGAGGCACTGATGTCGAAGCAGGAGCTGTTTGCGGTTCGGCCTGCTGCGAACCACTTCCTTCAGTTCCAACCTCATCGAGACCTTCTGTGCTCTGCAAGGTATATTGTAATTGTTGTTATTTGTTCTAAATGTTAACCACACTAACACTAATATTATCAAGAGATGTGATATTAGAAATATTACAAATATGAGTCCATTGATCTTGTAATTAACACTTTATGGCACTTAAGATATTCTTATTATCTAAAAGTGTATACGTATATGCTAATCCTTAATCTCTTAAACCTATTCCACTTTTTTCATTCGCATCGAAATATTTACTAGTTAAAACCATAATTATATGTAGTTAAAAAGCATGTGTGTATATATATTTGTTCTTCAACTGCTGTTCTTACAAAATATAAACCTAAACATACTTCATGTGAGCCTTTATCATATTCCTTAGAAAATTGCCTCCATATAAATGTGCCAAAAATAATTGCTATTTCTTCATAACTGTAATAAGCATCTCTCAACTCCGGTGTCTGGGTAAATTCAACCATATTTGAATCAAAATTCAACACTTTTCATTAAAATTTCATTTTTCATTAAAATTACTGCGCAATTTAAAACATACATTATAAAAATGGCTCGCACTGATAACAAAAATACGAAATTATGAAAGTTATGCCATTCTGAATTTAAAGATTGTATATTGCGACTAATACTAACAAAAACATTAGCCAATTTGCTATCAAACGTTAAAGGATGTTATCATTGAATAATTAAAAATGAAGACTACGTGTTTATCTCTATCGGATATGTTATCTGTAAAATTCGCAAGATATGCAGCAATATAGATATGCAATCTAAAAATAATCGTTGTTATAAAAAGTTTTCAAAATATAAAATAAATCATTGAAATGTTTATTCTTGCAGTACCTGAGTATTAAAACGACTAGCAAAAGCACCATTTAGAATAAACATTCCCATAAGAATATTGTGTGAAATCAGATGATGAGTTTTTTTCGTATTAGTTTTTGATAAAAATTATCCTCTTATCCTACCTAATCCATCGACTCTTGTGAATATATTTTCTGATAATACCCAATAAAATTAAACAGAAATGAATGAGCAATCTAGTAAGAAATTATTCCATTGCTGTTTTAAGTTTGAATCGTCTATGAAGAATTCATTCCATTTATTGGTAATTAGTACTTATCATAGAGTAAATTCAGATTTGTAGTAAAATGATAAGATAAGTAAATCGAGTGACCGTATATATTCATTCACAGAACAATTATAATCATTATAAAACCTGCAACATTTGTTTATTATTTTGAGGATTTATTAACAGAAATATTACCTGTTATTATGCATCACTTCAATGTGTATTGATAAAATTGCAAATGCAATTGAATGCAATAAGCATGCATTCAAACAAACTCATATGCATAATGATATTGAGTGGACTATAAATTATAAATATTCCATCACCATGAGATATGTGAATAAAACCACTACTTAGTTTATGATATATATTGATCTTCACTCTATAACCTTCTTCTCTCGTTACTTTTGCTAGTCTCCCTTAATATTATAAGTTACAGGTATTTATACTCATACAATTGTATCCCCTACCAGTCCTACCACCAAGGGTCCCGAGTTAAATAGAAAAAGCCCTGATCAAATCTTGACCAATATTATAGTAGATATAATATTATTATTACAATAACGTGGAAGATTTCCTATTGTCATTTCACATCGCAGTGCCCAAGATGGGCAATTTTCAATTTGAAACATATTTTTGATCTGCATTTCCAAGCGAAAATGGACATCGCTACTGCACGATGTCAGGTTATCCGTTGATACGAGTCCGTGAGCTGAACCATTACACCCATGCAACTAAATAGTGCAGTACTAGTACTACTCATTATATATTTAGTAAAAATCTGAACTGCAACTAAATGATATTTTAAGTATCAATATAATTATTGCAAAAAATGTGTGAAAATGCTGTTGTTGGAATAATTGTATAACGCATAGAATACACATATCATTTTCCGTTTCAGTTCTTAGGTTTCTATTTTATGGTATTATCAAACAATTAGCCAACATCAGTTTTTTACTTTCTAGATACTCAATTGCCGTAATCAAACATGTTTGTGAAGTGATAAACTAAGTAGTAACATGCATATATCTTTCTCGAGCTAAGTTTTAAAATGAGAAATCACGAATAACGCACTGCGCATTCTGAACATATATACATAATAAATAAACTTAGGATATTATTCTCTAAAACTGAAGGAACTCCTAAGTATACAACAACCTTGTAGAATTGCAAAACCAACTTATTATTCAACGGTAAATGAAAATTTAGTATGACATAATTTATATAATTAAATTTCATTTTGCCATTATTAGGGTGAGTACTTACAGCGCTAACTTTCGCACCAGCATCGTGCATCGCTCGTAACCAGTGCCGCATATCAGCCGGCCCTTCCGCCTGCAGCAGCAGCTCTGCTCCTGGTGCTGCAAATCGTAGTACATGTCTTCGCTTTGTATAATCTGCTGCTACGTCCACGGAAGCAGAACTCAACTCGAGTGGTGGGAACGATTCGGGCGTCTGAAAAAAAATATTTATTTTAATCAATCATAATTAAATTCACAAAATATTAATTTAATTTTTTTATTAAGATTGAGACGCATGGCCAACTTTTGCCATGGTTTCGAAATAGTTACATAAAATTTTAAAAAACTTATTACATTTACATAACGGGGTATTTTGGTCTCCAATTAAAAGAAAATCAATTTTGTTTTTTTGATATTTTCAAAGTTTAAGGGGGTATTCTAGTGTAGAAATTAAAAAAAATCGATTTTTTTTATTTCATATTTTCAAAGTCAAACTATCTAAGAATATGGGTACGAGAAGGTTTTTGAAAATTTGAATTTTTTTCGGAGATATAGGCATTTTACTGATTCGGTCTCCATACTGGTTTGGCTTCACGCAAAACTTTAAATGCGTTTTTCTCAGAACAGACTTTTTCAGTACTGTTGACACGATTTCTCGAGTTTTAATCGATTCACTTGAAATGTTCAGAGAGTCTTGTTTATAGACCTATCTATAGCCCAAACTAGGATTATCCCCAAATTCCAATTTTTACTATTTTTAAAAAATTCGAGAAACTCAAAAAACAGTAAAAAACACTTTTTTTCAAACAGTCGCCAATTTTTAAAATATTTTTTTACTCATCGCTAGTTCGAGCTATTGCGACATCATTGTAGATTAATAATCTTTTTATTTTTTTGCATTTCCGGTGCCAATTTTTTGAGATCACCCACTTCATCAGCTGCCAGTTTTTACAATTTTCAACTTTTTTATTTTTTAATTTTTGTTTTGTATTTTAATAACATTAATAAACAAGCGGTAAAAAATGGATAGTAAAAACATTCATTGCTTTCTTTTACGACACTTTAAAAATGAACTAAATTTCATCGCTCTATACTAGAATACCCCCTTAACAGTTCAAGAATATGTAAAATTTAAATTCTTTTCGGAGAAATAGATGCTTGACGACATTGTACTTTCAAATGAAAAAAGAAATTTGAGAAAACATTCAGTAGTTTTTTTATAGCATTTTGAAAAAAAAAGTAATCCTCATCTGTTTCTTTCCGCCGCAAAAATTTAAATACTTTTTTCTCGAAACTGTCTTTTTCAATACGATACCTATGATACTATGCACTACGCTCATCTACAAATTTTGTTTTTTAACATTTAAAAACAAATCTAGAACATCAAAAAAAGTTGTAAAAAAAATATTTTATGATCAGACAGTTGCTATTTTGTGAAAAAATATTTTTATAACTTGTCCGTAGTTCATACAATGGCGACATTATTCTAGATTAATAATATCTTGATATTTTCTGATTCAGATTATATGGAGCGCTAAAACTACGGATATGATCAGATGCCAACTTTTAGAGATCCCTTACTTCAACACTCTCGAGAATTAAAAATTTATGACAATTTTTACATCTTCTTTATAATCTTAAAACATTAATCAATAACTTGCAAACAAATACAGTAAAAATGTTTTGCCTTTTTACATCCTTTTAGAACCTTTCAAAAATCGCGTAAAACTCATGTCTCTAGAACAAACCACCCACTTAATTTAATATAATTTTATTAATAATTCAAAATAAGTCTAAAAATCATATAAACTTCGGCACAATAGAGACAATATTATGGCCATATTGAAATAAGCTAAATACAAATAAACACAATACAAATGCCAACGAAACACTGTGGATTTTACATTTAGCTTTGGTGCACAATAGGTGCCAAAATCGAAAAGATTTAATAGAATAAAGCAGATCAGTTTCCACTTAAACTCATTTTCATTTTCAGTAGAAATGTGCGTTTTCTTATTTTTTTCATAAGGCTCAAAATGATAATCTTTGTTTGTTTGAATACTTCAACAGCCCTACCCAAGAACCAGTCGAACCCCAACGTCGCAGCTTCCTAGTGATAAGTCCATTAGCGAATTGGGAGCGCAAACATAGCCACGCATTGCTGTGCGAAGAGCTGCATTTCATCGTATGTGTAGCAGCAGGTACTGGTGGGTTTCGTAAACCAAGATCTGGTACCCGTGAAATTTTGGACGCATTGGGCTCGGAAACGCGCGGCGGGAGCGTATCAGCCCGACCGCGCGCCCTTCTTCCGCGTTCGGCGGCTGCCCACGACGAACCATCGTAAAGTGTATCGCAAGAGGTCATGCGGCACAAAGACGGCGACATAACCAGTGATTTAGAATCGCGGAAAAGGCACTTCGTTGTTGACCAGGAATTTAGATGAGAATGTCATGCATGTAGTAATCCATCTAATATCACATTTCTTTCCAGTGTTATTTCAGATTTTATCAACTTTTATATGATTTACACAACATGTATTAGATTTAGTTATCAAAGGCACATTTTATTGTTCTGTATTCACTGTCTTGGCATACAACTCTATTAATAATTTTATCAAAGAACACCCTTATATTTATTCATTACTACAATTTTAAATATTTAATTTTTTCAAAATAATGCTTCCCACGTAATTATATCAAACATGATTTTATTAGAAGTTTTAGATCAAATTATAAATTATTTTATATTTACCATTGCTCTATTTCACATTTAATTAATAATATTTCATTAATCGTTGACTATAATCAGTATAATTTATAGATATCTATAAATATAGCAGACGGATATTATTTATCATTAGTAAACATAATTTTTAACTTCCCAGAGGATAAGTTGCAGTAATGAAAAAAAATCAGAAATGAATTTTTTTGCATATTTTTACGTTTTAGAGTCTCCTATACATTTTGGCATACCTAAAAAAATGGATGTATATCTGTGTGTATAGTATGTATTAGAGATGGGTAACTCACTCCGGAGTTATCACTCCGATATAACTTCTCCCTCGGAGTGAATCCAAGTGGAGTTGCCTCGTCGGATTTATCATATCCGACTTCCCTAAACTGGTACTAAATCTGTTACTGCATTTTTGCTTTGAGAAGGAAGCTGTCGCTTTCTCGTCTCACAGGCGGTTTTATGACCTTTTAGGTATACGTTTTTTTTCCAAAAAATACAAAAATATTACTTAAAAGATACAGAACAATGAAATTGTGTTTAAGTGTGAATAGCTCCGATATATAATTTATTGAATAGTAAGGGGTCATATTTCTAATGACGACAATCTTTGGCAGTGAATGACGGCAATCAGGAATATACATACCGAAAAATACATTTAATCTGGTTTTTCCATAGCCTGAAATAACAATACTTTAGAGTGCAAAATATATCAGTGACGTCCACAGTATTTAGGCATTAAAAATATAGAGTATTAAATTTTTACTTTTACACAATTATATAATTGTTTAAAAGTAATAATATGCTGATCGAACTACCCGATATAATATTAATTCTCGAATGGAAATAGCAGAAGAAAAAATTAGAAAGCAGAAGTATTATTATTTGGTAAAAATATTTTATGATAAATGTTTTGCTTTTATTACAAAGTTAACTTCATTATTTTTATATAAAATTAATCCAAAAAATCAATTATTTTTTCATCAAAAGACAATAATTAAATTAAATTTGATTCTCAAGTTTTGCGTTTTTACTTTGGTCAGCACTGTTAAAATTACGAGTCATTGAGTCGATCATGTGGTCGACCGAAAAATTTTACAACTTGTCATTTATTTGTGAATTTTTTAGAAAAATTATTTTATTGATAATTTTTAATTTTATTTTATTCATAAATTTTCATTTTAAAAAATTAAATGGGATTTGACAAATCCTTAGATGCATAGACAACGCACTATAGAACACATTTGTGTCGAGTATTTCGGTTTCAAAGTGGTCGGAGTCGTGGAGTTGTTAAGCGGATATAACTCCTCCCTGAAGCGGAGTCAAATCCGAGTCGATCCGGCTTCGGATATGATAAGCCCATCTCTAGTACGTATGTATGTATGTATGTCCGGATATACATTTTCGTCCACAATTTTGAAATAACGCGGATCAACCTGAATTTGAATGTTTTAAAAGAAATTCGATTGGCATTGATGGGAAGACCTGCTGATTAGTTTTAGGCAAAGGCGAGCAAAATGTGACAAAAATGGCAATTGAGTTTTTGAAAGAACTTAGCGTCCCATTTGAATGAAAAACATTTCCCTTGTTTCGATGAAATGAAAAATTGGTTAAATTTGTGGAAAGACAGGTCGGTTTCAAAGATCCAATTAAAAAATGTTGAAAAAAATGCCATTTCGAACATATTTAAAGTTAAAACCGATACCAATACTGCCTGACATCAGACCCGAGACGGGTATGGAACCTGATCGTGAGACCTCTGACTGAAGTTTCACACCTCTAACCAGTAAACCACGGAAAAATCAGTAAACATAAATAAACTGTAATTAAAAATTATTTACAACCGAAAGTAGTTTGATAGATTTAGATTACTCAAGCATGATGAAAGCTTGAATCAAACAAATAGCATTGATGCATTTCTATTATTCGATTGATTTACATGCTTTTTAATAGTAACATATTTATTGGCAATAAAAGCAACTTAATATAAATAGAATGACAGATGCGTTAGAAGAGAAAATACGAGTCCATTTAGCAAATAGCATTACATTATATCTTATCTTTACTATTTGAGACATGGAATTCAACTCACGGCGACCTCATTGAAAACAAAGTAATTAATTATTTACTAGAAATGATGTTTAGTGTGATCACATTATTCATTCCTGATCTATGTTGGAAAAGTCAGTAATCAACTACTTCCTTGCAATAGCATTATGCAATGGCATGAATATTAAATTAAATCCATGAAACAAGAATGCAATCTTATACTTTATTTAAATTCTGAAATAAACAATCATATAAATTTTTAGTTAAAATAAAAGCTATTAATCTCTATACATTTTGAACCAAGGTTTAAGGTATGTTACCACCGTTAACGCGATTCAAGTGGTTTTATTGCTTTGTAAGGATAAATTACGCATTTATATACAAGCATACTAATAAAAAATATTCCAATGTCTGAAAATTTGGTACGTCCATTTT